ACTCTGGCCAACAACTCGCTCCTCCACCAACTCCTGCTCGCCCCTGCGAGCGTTAGCCCTATCTCTAAATCGTGTGTTCTATCCGCTATTAGATGCCCGACCCCTTCTAGATCATGAGTCCTCTCGGGTCGTTCGTCTCGTAGTATCACTGTCCAAAGGAAGAACCCCTCAGCGAGCCACGTTCCCAAGTATCGTATCGGTACACGCCCTGCCTCTTCTATCGCCACAGGAAGTGGTATGTCGTATCCAATCGCCGTCTCTCTGAGTCCCACAAGCTTCCTCACACTATACGATTCGGACTCTCTTGAGAAAACATGAGCTAACCACGCCGCTGAATCACTCCTCATTTCTTCTCCTTCTCTCGGTCAGCATCTCTCTACTCCCTCCGATACACCCCATCTCTCGGCATTGCTGACCCTTCTGACAACTCTCGCACTCAGGTCCAGTATGGTCGAATAGGTTCAGTAGCCTGGCTCACTCAACCGTCGCCCTGGTGCGCTCCTCTACCTCCTACGCCCGAACCGCTACTCCTATCCTGGGAAAATGGGCGTCTATAACGTCAATCTCCTCCTCGTCAACCTCACTATCTGGGTCGACCCAGTCTGGCTCCTACAGCTCCTCGTCGTCTTCTCGCTCCCAACCCTCGTCGTCAAACTCGTCCTCGACGCGGTATGGCGCCTGTCCTATAGCCTGGTAGTATTCCGTCAACTGATGGTCGTATATCAGAGGTCGCCCGGCGTCCTCATTCCACCAGCTCCCCCAGTCGTCTGAGAAGAGCCGCCCGATGCAAGTCAHGTACTCGGGGCCTGCTCGGAGCTCACGGTCTAGCCAATCCCAAACGCATGAAGGCTGGAGTCACTCGTCGTCTATCGAGCGGATCAGCTCTATAAGCTGAACCCTCTCGTCTCCCCAACGAGGCCCACCGCTCGCAAGCGAATAATAGATATAGTCCAGGTCGGCAGGTCTTCTCGCCAGGATCTTGAGATCCTGATAAGCCAGGTATGTCTCGACCACTCCACCAATACCTCCGAAGACGCTCTCCACTACGAACGTCGGAACTATCGCCCGCAGGCTCCTAACGCTGTACGGGAAAAACTCGTCCCGTGCTATTACGAGCTCGCCCGTGATATCAAGAGGAGGGCGTCCGTGAAATAAGGTCAACGGGTCGCTCGCGTCCTCCGCTCGGAAAGCAGCCACCTCTTCCCCTAGGTAGCGTAGCGCCCTGCTAACCGCATCACTACTCCCTGTCGTCGCAAGGCCCACCACGACCTCTTTGGCCGCACCCGGTCCCAAATACAAGTAGGCTCTCACTACGCCCACTCCTTGCCCCGGCCGGTGCTCTCTATACGTCCAAAGCCACACGTCCTCGGACAGGATTATGGACCTCCATGCAAACTGGTCGTCAGCGTGTCGAATGCTGCGTCCGGGGATCGTGAGCTCGACCAGATCCCCCTCTATGAGTTCAGGGGGGTCTAAGTCCCAGTCGATGGTAGCCCCATAGACCTCTACTTGCACCCGCGGCCACATTCAACTGGCAGCTAGAGAGAGCGCGGCAAGCGGAAGGTGTAGATTAATGACTGAAATTTCGCGTCGCTTTCCTCACGCCTTCGAGAACAAGCTAGTAGGTTCACCTGAAACCAGGTTACCGCAATGTCTCTTTCCCTTCTCCTTCTAGGGAATTCTCTTGTATTTTTTTTAATTATAATTTAAAGAAAATGTATTTAGTTAAGTTAAATTTAT